GGCCCTCAGGCGTGAGGGGCTTCGGTCGGGAGGGGGAGGAGTGCCGCCCCGGGCTGGAGGGGGTCGGTGGAGCCCAAAAACGGGGCAGGGAGGGGAAAAAGGTTGGCCGAGGGGGGAGGACGGGTGGTCCTCAAGGGGCGGGGCGGCGGCGGCGTCCTGAGGGGGCGACGTGGGCTGCGGCTGAGGGCTGTGCAACTGCTTTGTGCTAAGGCACAAACGGTGTATCGCCGCGTTGGCAGTAGGCCTTATGCTTCCCCTATAAACACCTGCTTAACGCACAAGGAACTTCCACTGTTCTTTCTGAGAGTGGTAGAGTCACTAAGATTTTTTTTTTCCCTTCTCAAAGTGACTAGGAAGGGCAGAATGGTACGTTTCAAATAAGTTCTCTCCCCACAGGCAGCTTTTTGGGTGCTGTGTAGGTAAGCACATTCAGAATTATTTGGAAAATGCATATTGGTCTGACAACGTTTATATAAACAGTATAAGGTGCTTCACTTGTTGCTTAGGGGTGGAGCAGTTGGACAAGATGACTTCCAGAGATCCCTTCTAATCTATATTATTCCACGTTTCAAATGAAAGTAGAAGAGTAGGTATGCTCAGAGCTGGTAAGAGCAAAATACGAAGCAGCAAATCCTAATACAGCATTGCTGCAACAAGTAAGCAAGAACTTCCAAGAGTCGTTGTGGTAATTCTGTAAAAACAAAACAAACAAACAAAAAGAGATCAGTCACAATGGGGCAGGCAGAGTGAGACTTTGTTTCTAACAGAAAAAAGGGTTGATTGGTTGTGCCTTTAGTCTGCTGAGACAGCGAGAGCTGCCTTTAGTCTGCTGAGATGGCAAGAGTTACTGGGGTGCAAGACCTCTTGATTCATCTCTTGCAGACTAGCTACCTAATAAAGATTACCCAAAAGATTAGTCTTTCTGGTGAGGCAGTGGTGCCTATTTTATGGCTAAGGAATTGTCTTCATGCAGGAAGTACCTCTTTTTGTACACATTCTGTCGAAAGGGCTACCACCTGAGATGCAAGTACTTGATCCTCTTCCTGCTCCTAGGAAGCTGATTTCAGCTTGCTGGTGGAAGCAGGCATATAGGCTGATTTCAAGCACTTGTGCTTGCTTTTTTCAGAAAAGGACCATCTACTCTTTCAGCCCTTGTCACAGAAGACCAAAATTATTATGCTATTGTAGGAGTTGATGTTGTTCTTGTACGCTTGACGCCATGCGCACTTCTGGTTATCGCACATCAAAAAGGGTATCACAGGCTGAAGTCAGGCAAAGGGTAGGGTGGCAGGATTAAGAGATTGGACATTCTTCAGTGAGGTACAGAATGGCTTCCATATGTGTAAGAGCAACTAAATAGACCTGAAAAAGGGTATAGGGGGAGGGTGAAATGCAGAAGAGTAGCCTTTGAAGTTATGAACAGCATGGGGAAGACAGGAGAAATACATACTATTATTTAATCAAAAAGAAAATTAAGAACAAAAGGAATTACTTTTCCACAAATAATTAAACTCATTGCCTGAGGATGTTATGGAGACACAGTATAATTGGGTTCAAAAAGTGTTTATTCAAATGTATGGAAAAGAAGTTCATTACTATTGCTCAGATTCTGCCTCTGGCTCCTCAGGAAATCCCAAAACAGCTGATTGGTTTCTAGAGGTTGCAGAATAAAATATCATTCTACAAAAGTACTTTCTTATTACACTCCTTCCTAAACATCTAAGCTAGCCACCTCAGAATCAGTTTACATTTCAAAAAGTTTTTTTTTTTTTTCTTCAAAAGCAGAAACGAGAAAACCTAAGGCTACTGGGAAAACATAGTATCATGTAGTGTTAACTTGGTGTTAAACTAGTGTAAATACAATAGCATCAAATCATGCCCAATAACGTTTGCGACATGGATGTCCAACACAGACACTTAGGATGGATCCAGACCTTGAGGCTAAATGACTTCAGCACGAGAATAGTGCTTGCGGGAACAATATAGTTACAACTGCTGCGCTGGCTTGGGATGAACAGCTGAATGATATGTTATGGCCTTCAGTTACACAAGTCACATATTTCATCAGCTGAACAGGAGTTATCATAACACTAGTATTGAAATGCTAGATTACATGCAGAATTTTTTTACTAGTTCAGAAATTATAGAGAATTAACTTGCATTTGTAGAAGCGGTGTCTAATTTAGTTCAAGTATGTATTTTTTTGGTGAATAAAATATTAGCTAATCACTAATTCTATAATCTGATGCTACAAAATGCTACAAGCTGTGAAGTTGACGAGAACAGCGGTGAATTATTCTCTTGCTACGCTGGACCTGAAATTCATAGTTTATTTGCAATTTGTGATTATTTTTGAAGATGGGCAAGGTTTGCGCCATTTTTGGAGGATCCCGAGGAATAGGAAAAGCTGTTGCAGAATTACTGGCACAGAAAGGCTGCCGCTTGGCGATTATTGCCAGGAATCTGGAAGTAGCCCAAACCACTGCACGTAGTCTGGGTGGTATGTATGCTGCTTTGCAATTACTCACTGTCCAATGCTTAGGTAACTCGTCAAAGTAGTAAGCCATTAAATAAACCTCCTTGTTTAAATAAATTAAAATGAAAATAAAGGCTGAGAAATTTGAAAGAAAAGCTGGATCAGTACAGTTTCGTTTTCACAGTATTCTTTGGGCAAGTTAAGTGTGTTACCTATTCTATCTGCCAGATAGAACTGTAAGATGAAAGGAATTGTTCAAGGTCACAACTGGGAGGTGGTATGAATTGAGTCATCATTGGCTCCTGACCAAGCCAGAACTGAGACCAGCCTGCTCATGCTGAACTTCTGATTTCAAAAGGCCAAAAGTATAAAACAAGAGATTGCTACGTAACTAATCAATACAATACTTGAAAATTGTCCCTATTTAATTCTCTAGAGATTGAATGGGCTCTTCAAGTTATAACTAATTCAACATCTGTTTTTGCAGTTGAGTTGATAAATTCTGAAGGTTTATGAATGGTATGCCATCTTTTGCTGTCATTATGGTGTGCCTTTATTTCAATACAGCAGGACATCTGGCACTTAGCTGCGATGTATGCAGTGAACAAGACGTCCAAAGTACTTTTGAGGAGATGCAGAGGAATTTAGGTCCTATTAACTACTTGGTTAATGCAGCTGGGATCAACAGGTTAGTTACTTGTTACAAGATTATCTGTAGTTCTGGTTGACAGCATCTTATTGTAAGGTGCTACGGGCCTTTGCACTTAGCAGGAGTATTGTTAATGAGTACGTCTGAAAACAGTATTAAGTACTCACCCATATTTTGTTCCTGATGATGGTAAAATTCTAACAGATGATAGAGCTTTCACTGCAGGTTCTGCATTCTGTGTTTGAGTTCTCCATTTACTACTCTTTCTTCCACCACTTCTCCCTGAAGTGGTCCAAACCAGTGTTTGATGCCTTTCTGCAAAGGAGGCTCTTTCTAGAAGCATAGCTAACTTTTTTCTTGCTGTGTGTTGTCCTTGCGATGTCATCATTTTGAGTGCTAGAATGTATAGAACCGTAAATATCCCCATTAATATTTCATTTATCAGTCATGTTTTATTATGAGTAAATGTGATCATTGGGGTTGTTCAGTGAGTTCTTCTGGGTGTTTTGGTCTGTTTGTCAGGGATGGTTTGTTACTGAGAACCAAGACGGAGGATATGATAGCCCAGATTCACACTAACCTTTTGGGAACAATGTTGACATGCAAAGCTGCTGTAAAAAGCATGATACAACAACAGGGAGGTGCTATTGTCAATATAGGTAAGTTACTTGTCTAACCCTGGGGAATTCTCTGTACTAGTTTTCTAGAAAGGTTTAGCAGGGGTAACGTGTTGAAATGTTATTTGTTACAATTGACTTATTTTCTTTGTATTCAGGAGTTCTATACTTAGCATTTCTTTATCAATGCTTGTTCTTTTGTGTAATTTCAGCAACTTCTAAATGTAAACCCAGTTTGTTTCAGTAATAAACACCTCAGAGTTTGTATTTCACTGAAAAAAGAATTTCACCATTCTTTATCAGCTCATTTGGTAGCTAAATCTACCAGTTGCTAGTTATTAACTAGGAATCAAATAGGTACAGTTGATTTCTTTTTTTTTTTTTTTTTTTTTTCCTGTGCAAAGATACTTTTTTAGAAAGCTCTTCATTTTACTTTCCTGGTTCCTGTTGGTCAGGGGATATGTGGATTCCACAAAAAATGCAGATAATTGAGGGATTTGCTTATTCCAGCTGTAGGCTATAAAGTAAATTTATATAACAAATAGGATTGCAGCACGGTGGGGGTTGGAAGGGACCTCTGGAGACCATCTAGTCCAACCCCCTGCTAAAGCAGGATCACCCACAGCAGGTCATCTAGGATCGCGTCCAGGCGGGTTTTGAATATCTTCAGGGAAGGAGACTCCACAACCTCCCTGGGCAGCCTGCGCCAGTGCTCTGTCACCCTTAACATAAAGAGTTTTTTCCTCATGTTCAGGTGGAACCTGCTATGCTCCACTTTGTGCCCGTTACCCCTTGTCCTGTTGCTG